CTACCCCCTTTCCCTCCCTCCCTACCTCCTTGTGCATGTTGGTGCAGTGGTGCTGTCCCTCTCTCCCCCTTTCCCTCCCTCCCTCCCCCTTTCCCTTCCTCCTTCCTTCCTTCCTCCTCCCCTCCCTTTCTCCCTCCCTCCCTTCCTCCTCCCCTCCCTTTTCTGTCTCAGGAAGGGCAGGCTTCAGATGGATATATGGATATTTCACTTCTCTGTGACACTTTCTTTTCTTGTGGTAGAGAGGCAAACCTTGTGACTCTGCCCTCTGTGGAGAAGGAATATTTGTTATCTTTTCAATAGGGAAGAAAAGATGATCTGAGTTATCCAGAAACTAGTTTGAGCAGGTTAAAAGGAATTCAAATAATTCTCATCATTCTTCAACAAACTCATAATTTTTATCTCAGTATTCTATTTTGAATGTCAAAAACATAGCTTTAAACTTTATTTTTATGTATATGAGTGGTTTTTTTTTTTGGTGGTCTTTTTGAGACAGGGTCTCCCTGTAGACCCAGCTGGCCTGGAACTCACTATGTAGACCAGGCTGGCCTTGAACTCACAGAGATCCTCCTGCCTCTGCCTCTTGAGTGCTGGGACTAAAGGTGTGTGCTAGCATACTTGGTGTGTATGAGTGTTTTGCCTGCATGTATGTAAGTATACCTATGTGTGCAGTGCCCACAGAAGTCAGAAGAGGGCGTTGGAGGAACTGGAGTTACCAGTGGTTGTTAGCTGCCATGTGGGTGCTGGGAACTGAACCCAGGTGCTTTGCAGTGCTCCTAACTGTTGAGCCATCTCTCCAGACCCATCGGATAATCATCCATGGTTGCCTCAGGCTAATTAGTGAAAAGCTGTCTACTTGGATATGTAAAATGGAGAGCTGCATCTTTAGTTCTTTTACATTTTCATTCATTATACGTATCCAGCCTTTGTCTTAAGAACAGTCTGAAGGCTAGCACAGTGACAGTGTGGATGGTGTGTAGTTCTGTGACTGGAGGAAGTGGGCAAGACTGGATGTGAATGGTTTGGTTACCATGTGAGAATTCCTTCCTGTCATTGCTTGTTTTCCTTGTTTTTTTCCAAATCCTCAGAAATCAGGAAAATGGTATAAAGTACTGTAATTCCTCTGTATGAATTTAAGAGTCAACATGGAGATGCTCCCCTGGGAAACAGCCCCCCATGGCAAGGCACAAGTGTGAGAAGGAAGCACCGCGGCAGAGTTGAAGACGAGTGTCAACATTCTAGGGCTGGGCTAGGGTCATTTGTTGCTTTAGTGGTTGCTCTGTTAAAAGTGTGTGTTTAAGTTCTTGATGCTAATGTGAGTTATTCTTGCAAATAAAATATTAATATATCCATATAAAAATGCCCTTCAAATGAATTTGTGGGTGGGATTCCAGGAAATGCTAAATTTCAGAAGCAGAATAAGAACTTATTTTGGCGATCTCAGCACATGTTTCTGTGTACTGCTGTTACTGTGTTAGGCAGTCTAGATGTGAAGTTATTTGAATATTATACAGTAAATCTCTGCTGGCATTTTCCAGCATCTTAATATTCTGTGTGGGATTCTCTTTGTAAATGCTTCAAAACTTATATTATTGATTGAACTATTAAAAAAGCACCTATGATCAGTAGTAGTAAATAGTGAAAAGTACTAAACAATCTACAGGCCTGTAAGTGTGCTTGGTGGCAGCATGCTTGCCTACACACACAAACACACACATACACAGCACATATATTTTGGAAAATGGTTTCTTGATCCAGAATCCCTCTTGGAAATGCTAGGTATGAGGAGACCAGTTCCAAAGCTTCTGTGGTAATTTAGTGGCGTCCACTGTGGGTTAGAATGGGACAGAAGAGTGGGAATGGAGAAAAGTAGATGGGATTAATATGTAACAAAGTAACCTGAGTGTCGAGGTGAAAAGGAGAAAGCAGCAAGGCTGGTCCTGATGTGTGCTCTGAGGAATTGGAGGAAAATCAGGCAGTCATACTCAAACACGCAAGAAGGGGGTGGGTAGATTGTGTGTGCAAGTGTGTCACCCACATAGAAGGTATCTAGTAGAGACCAGGAAATGGGAATCTGAATTTTGAAATCAAAGACATGAAAACAAAGCAGTGAGAAAAGACCAAGAAATAGCAATTTTGGAGTTGTCACTAATGAACTAGACAGGAAGAAAACAAAACATCAAAACCTAGAACTTCCAAAAGTCACTCAGAGGATGTCTTAGGGTGCTCTAGAAGAACAGAACATACAGAATGATTATATTTTTAAGGGAGTGTTATTAGATTGGCTTACACAATATGGTCTGGATAGTCCAACAGTGGCCATCTCACATTGGGGAGGTCAAGAACCTGGGAGTTGCTCAGGCCATGAGACTGGGTGCTTTAGCAGTACTAGTCTGGTGCTGCAGGCCTGGAGGACTGCTGGAGAGCTCCTGGCCTTCAGTCCATGGGGAAGTGGGAAGAACCTGTGTGTGCTGCTATCAGTAAAGGAGTGCAGTGGCCACAGGATAGATGAACTTGCCAGCGAGAATGAAGGCAAGCAGGTGAAAAGCTTAACTTGTTCCACTACCTTTGCTCTAGGCTGCCTCCTGGAGCTGCCACTCACATTTAGGTTGGGTCTTCCAACTTCAGATAACCTGGTTAAGAAAATCTCTCACAGAAATGCCCAGCACCTTGTCTTGTAGTTGATTCCAGATCTAGTCAAATTGACAACCAAGATTAACCATTCCAGAGAAAGTTCCAGAGATATAACAATGTGAGAGAGAACAGACTGAAGGATTGTGGTAGCAAGTGAAAGCCATGGGCCATGCTGTCCAGTGATAGACTGATATAGTGAGAAGACAGTTAGGACAGTGCTCCATGGAGTCATTGAAAGCATTAAAAAAGTTTTTTTAATGTGTATCAGTGTTTTGCCTTCATGTATGTAAGTGTAGCACATGCATGCAGTGCCCACAGAGGCCAGAAGAGGGCAACAGATCCCCTGGAACTGGAGTTACAGATGATTGTTAGCTGTCATGAGGGTGCTGGGAACTGAACTCTGGTCTTCTGTAAGAGCAGCTAATGCTCTTAACTTCTGAGCCATCTCTCCGGCCTCCAGTGACAGCACTTTGGGTGGAAGGTGAGAACAGGTTAATGCCATGGTACATGGCGTAGGCTGCAGCAGGTATGGGTACATGGAAGGCTGGAACAGCAAGAAAAGTGAACAGTGGAAATGGAAGGGAAGGGTGAGCAGGAGGAGAAGTTTGGGGTCAGAAGTGTTGGTTGGCTTTGGCTGCTTAGATGGTAGAGGCTACTTGTACACTCCTGTGAGCAGCTAAAGGGGAGAAAGAGAGGGGAAAGTCAGGGAGAAAAGGAGCACCTGTCAAGCCAGAAGGCTGCAGCATAAAGAGTGAGGGCCTGCGATGGAGGTCTAAGAGAGGGAGAAGGCATGCCTGAGGGGCTGTAGACTGTTGCTGGGAGGGTCAGGGGGTTGTATGAAAGCTTCTGGTTTGCGGAGAAGCTTAAAGGTAAGGTCATGGCTAGGGGATGAGGTGCTGGGTAAGAGGCTGCAGAAGAACGGTGGCAGCTGAAATACCTGTAGGGCGTAGGGAGACGGCTCAACCTGTGTTAGAAGGACTTGTGGGTAAAGTGTGGTCTTGACCTCATGGTGCCATAAATCCCCATGGTGCCTTTCTCTTTTCTTGTCTATTGGCTAGCAGCCTGGCTGTAGTTATGGAACCCCAGTGAATGTATCTACCAGGATTTTTTTTTTTAAAAGGCTACTGGGACAGAGATAATGATGAAGGATTGTGATAAGGAAGTGCTGACGAGGGGCTCAAGGAATATATGCCAGATTTAGTGAAGGGGACATGGGGGACGATTTACATATATGAAAAGTGATTAAAGAGCTGAGGGACCAATTAAATTGAGAAACAAGTCTGGGTTATACCTGTGTGAACAAGCTGGGAAGTTGAGAGTTGGTATGAAAGTGGCTTTTCTATGAGCCCAAATGGACCAGGCTTCAGCTCTGACACTGGCTGCCTGAATTGAGCAGAGGCACAGTTCATGAGAAATGGTAGAAGCTGGGACTGGGAATGCAGCCAGCTGGTGCTTGCCCAGCACATTTAAAGCTCAAGGTTCTCACCCTAGCACTACATGAATAGAGCATGGTGGCGCATGCCTAGAAACCAGCACTTGGGAGGGGGAGGCAGTAGGACCAGAAGTTAAAGATCATCTGTGGCTTTATAGTGAGTTTGAGGCCAGCCTGGGATACATGAGACCTTGTCTGAAAAAAATGAGGGGAAGTGAGAAACTGACTAGGGAACATGAGCGGTCAGGAGGTTGCCTGGGCTGGTAGCAAGGGGTGTGTACAGAGGACTGTTATACGAAGGTACTTGGTGAGGGTCAAGCTTCTGGGAGGCTGACAGGTGGCATTTTCTGTAGCTGTAGCTCAAACGAAGGGCTTGTAGCATGAGCAGAAAAATCCTTAACTAAGAGCAGCAGTTTGTTTTTGATGCAGAGGTTCAACATGTGGTTCCTGTTCTGTGAGGGAGGTATCATGTGGGAAGGAGGAGCCTCCATCTGAGGAAGGAAGGGTCACTATCAAGAAGAGCTCAGTTTTACCGGTACAGAATGCAAAAGAAATGCCCAGTGAAGTAGCCTGAGGCTCAGATTTAGTGACTGCATCACTAGGGGTTCCACTGAGATGAGAAACAGATGCAGTGCTTAGGGTAAAGGGCAGCAGTCACAGGCACCCTGAGCAGCTGCAGTTCCCTGTGTGGGGTGGGTGAAGGAGTGGGGAGTTGTTAGATGCCTGCTGTAGATACTGAGGTTGGTGGCTGAAGATTTTTTCCATTCAGAACCTGAAATCTAGGAGCTGCAGTACAGGATAATAGTGGGCTCCTGAGCTTTGCCAGACCCTCACCATGTTGGGCTCTGGGAATTTGATAGGGCTGTAGTCTCTGTAGCCTGGTTTAAAATTCTATTAAGCTTTTGGAGTTATCTCAGCTTTAAGCCTATTATTGTCCTTTATCTTTCTTGCTAAATTGAATTATATAGCTTTCATTTTTGCCACTCAGTTGTGACAGTACCTTTCCTCAGCTTTGCTGCTAGGATCTGACATTCATTGCTTGTAATTTTGGTTCTTGTTCTCTAGTTGGACTTTTCAGCACTCTGGTAACCTAGTCTTCTCATTAACTGAGATTTTAATCTGAGGTCAAGGCTCCCTTTCCAGTCATTGTCTGGAGTGTGCAGTGTGGCCAGTGAAACACACAATTGTTGTTTCACCAGAGAAGACCACACACATACACACACACACACACACACACACACACACACACACACACCCACCCCTTTCTTTGCTTGCCAAAAGAAAGCCTTTTATATTTTGCTAGCTGGTGATTACACTGAGCAATCCGTTCCTAAGTGCAGTGCTGAGCCATCTTTAGGTTAAGCTTTTATACAGAAAAATTACATTTAGGGGTGAAAAGTTTTAAGTTCCCAATCTCAGGCATGAAAAGCCCCCCTAACAATTTCTATTCTGTAAAACAAAATTACTCTTTTGCAAAAGCAAGCCAATTCTGTCTACAGAAGCCATAAATCTGCTGTTGGGGATGGAGGGTAGCCAGGTTCATGCTGACTTTTTCCTCAAGCCCACACCTCAGTGCAGCTTGGTCAGACTTTTTTTTTTGAAAAATACTATTGGGTTTAGTTGGGGCTTGCTTGTGACATGATGTAGCTATGGTCAGTCTTGAAGTGCTTCATCACATTAGCAGTTCCTTCAAGTACCATCAAGAAATAAAATGTCTAGGCAAGGTTTATCTGAGAACAATTGGTCTTTGCCCAAGCTTTATGTACATGGCACATGATAATTAAAAGTACCAGACTGGTGGAACTAACCTTCTTGGATGTTTAACAAACATACTTTGAGCCCTACACTAATTTGTTCAGAGGGACATAAAAGACAGTTTTTGCTCCTTGCCCTCCTAGGTCGACTAGTTCCAGGGGACTATGAGCATCTCTCAAAATGTCCTGTAACTGTGGTGAGTCACCTGTCCTCTTGATCAAGGAGGCTGAGGAGACCCCACCACATGGACTTGAACCAGTGTCCAGTCTACAAAGAGGAGAGTCAACAGAGGAAACATTTCCTCCATGCTTCCAAGAG